TCTAGAACACAACACAGAAAGGGGGTTGGGGTTACAGGGAAGAGTAAGAATTTTAAATGATAGAAAGTTGAATGAAGAGAGAAAGGAGGAGATGAAAAAAGGCAGAGAAAAGAACAGAAGAGAAAAGAAATGGGCAAAGGGAAGGGGGGAGGTCGACTCAGGCAGCAAAGCAAGGTGGTGTCTATTACATGAGGCAGTAGAATTAAGAAGGTGCCTGTGAATCTGAGCACTGCTTTTTCATGCCTCCTGTTCCATTGTGAGTACACTGTGAGGAAAAGGGCACGAGGAGGGGGGAGAAAAGGATAGATAAATGCCTGAGCTGTCATCCTAAACAGCTCCTAGCAGTCAAGCAGGTAAACTGGAAAGAAGCAGTCCACAGGTTGCAGATGCTCAGGGTTGCGTTGCAGTTCAGCAGGCAGGAAACCGTCTGCACTAGCACAGTGGCATTTACACTCCCAGGTCCACTGGGTCTCTCTGTGTGCTTGCAGTGAGCCCTGCACACATAAAAATGGTTCTGTTCAGTACTGAGGAATTGTGCTCTGATCTCTGCCCTGCATCTTCTCTCAGGTCTCAGTAAGAAAACCTCAGCCACAAACAGGAGTGCTGTTAGTCTCCCTCCTTCCCACACGAATCCCCCTGCCAGATCCCAGTTCTTGTTTGCACTGCAAGGGCTGTCTTGCCTTGCCATGCCTCTCTTTTCCCCATGGTTCATCTTTACCTTTGCTCTTTTGTTCCTCTGCTTTATCTCTCTCCTCTTTCCTTGTGGCTCTTCTTCCTTACTGCCAATCATTCAGCTCCCCTTACACAGGCCTATATAAACACACACATATACACACTATTTATCTCCATCTCTGTAGTTATACTTACCTATTGCTGTAGTACCTAGCTTATACACATCTCTTCCCCACAGATAATCTATCTACCTCCTCACCACACACCTGACAAATCTGCGTTTCTTTCCTTCACAGCCTTTCTTTTGCTCTCCCCCAACCAGTCCATTTCTGTGTGTCCATTCTCCCCAGTTCTTCTTCCCTCTCTACAATCCATTCCTCTTTCCTTCTCCCCCACTCTGCCCATCTGTCTCCACAATTTTCTCCAGCTGATACACATGTACCCCAGTCCCTCTCCCATTCTTCCCCCCCTTTTTGCACATTTCATTTCTTTGTGTCTCCTACACACCCAGGCCCACACTTGCTCTCTCCCATACTGAGAGGAGGCGGCAGCAAAGAATTTGCTGCTGACCGCTGCATTGCTAGGAGGCAAACACATGGCCGGCCTTGTGCAGGCCAGTTTCTGCCTGAGTGCCCCAAGTCACATATCCCCAGCATCATCTCCAGCACTGGGAAAACAGATGGTATAATAAATGAGCACGGTCTGATAAAAGGAGGAAAGGGTGCCTGCCTCAGATGCCCCTCACCCATACAGAGACACACACCCAACATGGGCACAGCTCTTTCGCTCCTATACCAGTCCAGTTTCGTGCCAGGGGAACAAGGCACAAACTCTAGCCTAGCACCAGATGGAGAGGAAAGGGGTAGGAGAGGAGGGTAGTGGATAGAAAGACCAGTGGTTTTTTTTTTCCTGACAGCAGCTTATAACCCTGGAAAGAACAGTACATGGAAAGGGGAATCTAAGCAGTATTATGTAACAGGGAGGGCTGTTCACATGGGAGGTGAGCAGAGTTGTGAGGATGAATAGGTGCAAGACTTTCATGTGCAGAGACAGGAAGAAAAAAAGCAAGAGGCATGGACAATGAAGAGGAATCCTTCCTTCTGCATTTACCTCAGTTACAAGAAACCCACATTGTTGTTTCCAACCTTGCTCCCCGTTTCCAAACCCAGCAGCATTCCTTCCCCAGCTAACATTTTCACGTTCATTCATTGCAGCCTGATCTCTCTCTGCTGACAACAGCACTGAAAAGCATTATCTTAACCCTGCAAGACATCTTTCCTAGATACTCTGTTCTGCTGTCCTTACAAGCTGATTTTATGTCTGATGCTTCAGCTGCAACCTGAATGTCAAAACTTCCAGTTTCGCGGCCCCCGGACTGAAGCCACCAAACATCACAAAACCAAAAGTCCTAGAAATAGCACACAGTGGCCATGCACAGCTCAGTCTGAGAGTGATGCTTCACAGGAACAAAAATAATCTAGCGAAAGCAGAGAAAGGAAACCAACACAGAAAAGAGATTCCTGCCTGCCATGCAGAGAGGAAGGCATTTTTTATTGTATTTAATTTTATTCATGAAAGAGTGATTTCTATCTGCTTTACATTGATCTCATACACATTGTATTTTTCTGTTGCTTGAGGTTAAATACTGATATTCTGGGGAGGTCTGCCGTATGAACTGACTGTGAAGTTTTCATTGTGGGAAGCCGATGCTCAAGTTGTAGTGGGCACTTCTGCTTGCTTGGGTGAGGCGCAGGTTCTCTTTCTGTTCCCTGAATGGATGAACATAATGTAGTCAGGGTGCTGCAGCAAAATTAGGCATAAGTTTTTGTCATTCCCATCCCTCTCCCCCCCAGAAAAAGGAAAGGTTTAAACAAGAATAGATCACCCCACTTTCTGGCAAAAGAAAACTGAGCTAGTGCTGGAACTAATTTGTGTTTTAAATGCTACAAAGACGTGGGGGTAACAACTGTAGGCGTCTGTTTCCCTCCACTCAGAAATCCCCTCTGAAGAACTGTACTCAATCTGGATTTCCAACAGCTCTTCACACGCTTCCACTCTGGCAGTCTGATGGTGTCCTTAGCTTACCCTCTCTGTTTTTTATGGCTTCTCCAGCCACTGCTCCTCACAGTATCACAGCTTGCTGTTCTTATCCCGTAGTACTCGTAGGTTTATCATTCTGGATTCTTGCTACTGCCCTATCGAACCCTGGTCTCATGCAACCTTTAACTCATCCTGCCTTGTTCTAACGCATGCCCTACCTCTTGAACCTAAAATGGTGGTTACCATTGACCTTACTCATCGTGGCTCTGAATTCCCCAAACTGGCCTTGGCCCCAAGGTCTTCACCCTGAAAATCTCTGTTCAGTTATTAATTCTTACCTGCCCTCCCACCTGCAGCATTACCCAGCTCTACCCTGTATCCTCATTTCCCCTCAATGGCTCATGCAAAAATTACTTTTCCTCCCACTTTATTTCCATACATCACTCCACAAGCTGGGAAAAGCCTTAGGTGTTCCCACCCCTCCAACTCTGCCTCAGCAAAACCTTTGGGCTCTTCATGAAGAGATACAGACCCCACTTTTTCCTACATATTCCTATTCCCCTATTGCTCCTGCTTGTCCCCTCTCTGGGACACAGCAGCTGATAATTTCTGCCCTTACAGCTTTCTGCTTGCTGCCCCTAACTTGAAGCTCTCATATTATATATTTTTCTAGTACTTGTGCAGAAAGATTACAGGCTCCACATTTCTCCAATTGATGCAGATCTGGCTGGAGGGAAACTCATCAAAAGTGACCCCATCCCTGACCCCAGCTTGACATGTAGGCTCTGTCACATTTCCCTTTTCAACATTGCCAGATTTGGATTTGATCTCAGAGATCAGGAAAGAGAGTGATTCCAGGCTTCTCTTGACAAACAGCTCTAGGGGAGGAAATATGTGAAGCTGTGACAGAGGAATGAGAGAAAGACCCCCAAGGAGTAAATCAAACAAACAAAACCAAACCAACACCAAAACTCCAAGTCTCTTCTCGAGAACAGCCAGTATCTGTGAAAGTTACACTGCAGCAAGCTCTAAAGAGCCAAGATCGGGCTGCCAGGATTCAACTGGGGGTCTTCTGACAGAAAATTACACTCTAGGCTGAGCAACTTCCCCATCTCTCCGGTGACTTGGATTGGGAATAACAACAGCTAAAGAGCCCTGAAAAGAGTTGAGATCGGGTAGCAATCTTCTTTCTCCCTCCCCCAAGCATTGCTGTTCCGGGTCAGCAGAGCCAAGGGCAACTGGCACAGAAGACATTGTTCTCTAGGCAAGATGACAGCAGGAGGAGGAAATAGGATGAGAGCAGCACAGAGATGATGTGCCTTTAGGCTGAGAGATGTTGCGGGGGCCAACATGGCCCTTGGAAAAGCTCCCTCTCAGACTCCACCTCTGCTCCAGAAGGTCCTAGAAGTCCCTTAGCCCCAGCTTCCCTGGAGTACCAGCGGCAAGACAGGAAAATTACTTGCTAAGAACAAGAAGAAGTGCGTATTCTCCATTAAGAAGTGGATATGATATACAAAAAGGACTGACAACAAATGCATGGGTGGGGTGGGGGGGGGCATCACACAGGTGTCAAGAATAGGAATGTCTTTCTGCTGCTAGGAGATACTCTGCCATTGCACTGCTGGCCTCTTGCAGGCAGAGGAGACAACTGCAAACAGTTGCCACCTGAAAATCATAGATACAGTATTTATTAAAAGCAGAGCAGAGCCTTGAGCAGGGTATGGACCCCCATGGATCTGTTTAAGCACCAGTAGAAAGCAGTTGCTGCCTCCAGAACAGAAATGCAGCATTTTCCCTGCTGTCAGCACCTGCATCAGGCTCCTTGTTTCTCTTGAGATACAGCCCTTAATTGGGATAGATTGTATGTGTTCTGCCCTAGCCCAGCCCAGCTCCCAGTTTAATTGCTAGTTTATGACTTAGCCTGTTTTGTGCTTTCCACACTACTTCTTTCCCCACTTAATCTAATAGAATTATAGAAAGCATTGCTGGGAGGACCTCAGGAGGCCACACAGTTTATCCTTCTGCCCCAAGGCAGTATTTCATTTTCAACAACATCATGTGTCTTTTGCTATCAGGTCAGATCGGTCCAAGATGTACAGTGGGTAAAGAAATGAAGCTTACCCAGGGGAGCCAATTGGCATAAAAGACCAAATCCAGCCCTTTAAGTCACTGGAGTTATATCAGAAATAACCCTGGTCAAAATGGTGTCATTTATCAGATCAGTTTTCTGAAAGATGGCCTTTCTTAAGTTTTAAGTCTCTATAGAAGAAACTGTTCTGACAGCCCCATTTCAGTATATTTAATGCTTTATTATGAACAGCAGTGACCACTCTATTGTTAAGACTGAACAGATCTTATCACAGTATGATCAGCTTTGAAATTCCTATTAACTCCCACAATAAAACCTAATCTTTCTGGAGTTTTATATCCTGCATTTCACTCCAGAGCAGAATATGCCTGGCAAGACAAAACCAAACCATTAAAGCATCTTTAACATGACAACTTTACACAGACAAATTTCCAGTGAAATTTCAGAAAGTCAGCTTTTTAAGGCTCTTTTTTTCCAAGACAATTTGACTAAAAATTCCACTTCTGTTTTCTTTCATCTATTAATCTCTCTAAGAAGAAATGTCTTGCAGCCTTGGGAATAGATAATGCAGAAATTAGAAGGGTAAAAAAAAAAAAAAAAAAATCAGCTGGTGATGTATCAAGCTAAGTAAAGCAGGGCACAAGTATAACAGGGATTCTGTGCAGCAGAACCACAAGGACCAAAGGAAAGGTAAGAGGGAGGGACTCCCAGGAGAAAAGAATGTTTTTGTTTAATCAAACAAGCAAGCAGGAACAGGAAGGACAATGTATCTCTGGAAAACAATTAAAGGCTTTTTTCGTTTCCTCCCACTTCTTTTGAAATTTCAGTTCTGATTGAGCTGGGTCTCCTCTGAGTTGTAACACCCATGCTGAGCACCTGCAGTACTGCACAACTGGACAAAATAGGGGAGCTGTAACACGACAAGAAGCTTCCTGGTCAGCAGACAGCTTCCTGCCTTTATCCTATTCTTCTCCACAGTGTCTGTAATTCAGAGGGATGCTAAGGCTATAAGCAGCAAACATGAATTCACACTCTACAGATGTGGCCACAACAGTTACTGAACATAGTAAGAGAAACTTAATAATGGCCCAGTCTGTTAACTCAGCCTGCTCACCTAGTTGCTACCCTAAGCTCCTTCAGACACAAAACTGTTTTCCACAGCATTCCCATATTTGGCTCCCATGTCCTATACCCACTCCTCACTACTAGTATCTACAACAAGGTCATGTATAAGCTAAGAAAATAGCAACAAGCATCACCTTCACCATGACGGTATTATATAGTACATTAGCCAGGAAGGACAATATATGATGCTTTTAAAATGCATTTGGAAGGACTGAGATGATTATTCTTAAACATACCACTTTGAAGGACATTAATTTAGTGCTTGAAATAGTCCTGCAAAGGCAAGTTAGGAAACATGCTTTAGACACAGCCTTTTTTCTAATTCTAGTCATGGCCTGTGAGAAGAGGGAAAGGGGCAGTGGGTGAATCCCTACTGCTAGCTAATTAGATCATACATTTCCTCTCTCAGGCAATACATCTTTCCCTGCATGGGATGCATTTTTCTTCACTAACCTCTCAAAAGCAGCTCCCCTATAAATCACAAAGCACCACTGCAAGCATTCCCTTAATGAGATCCTCCAGCTTTTGCATTCATTTAATAAAACAGTATTTACCCATCTTCATCTTACTGGTGCATTTAGACTGTTTATTTGAAGTTATGGGAGGTCCTTCTGGTACAGAGAGATTGAACTCCCTGGTTAAAGACTGCATAGGATTCATTTCATCAGCCATTCCCAAGGCATTCATTCCCCCTATATACCACGTCACAGCTGGCATACACACCTGGCATGCTATCTTCAATATGAAAAAGTATCTGTCTTGTGCTGTAATCACATCATCAATAGAACCAGGGGAAATGAGCTACCAAATCAAATCAAGCCTTCTTTAGTTCTTTAACTAGATCAGCACAGCATCCAAAATAACTTTCATTCTTAGTCTTAATATTCTTAACAGTCAAAGGTATCAGCACCTGCAGACGAGACTCTACTCAGCCCATGGAAATCAACAGACACCTCCCAGGGTTAACAAGACAACCAATGTAAGATACAAATGCCAGTAATGCTAATCCAACTCAAAAAAGAGTGAGTCTTCTAGTTACCCTAAGCCCACAAAGGAGTCCTTCCTTCTTTAGAGGAAGCAAGAGCTTTCCCAGGTGGTTCTGTCATTTTTTGAGGTGGCTTCTAGCAAAAGAACTTACACATTTTCTTTTCTTTTGGGCTGAGCTCCTACTTAACCTCTTTAGCTGGTATTCATGCTCCCTAGTTAATTCCCAGCATAAACACACAGTTACCAGTGAAATAAGCCCAGCTGCTTTTCCAGATTCTCTAAGTGCTTCATAAACTCTGCTACAACATCTGCAGTCGTATTTCTTACATTCAATCCAATGTACTTTTCCTAGCACTGGGCATAAATGTGGTTATAAAATGAATTTATAAAAGTCTTGAAACACAGATTCCTGAAAAGCCTGCCTGAAAAATCACTGTAGTACTTATGAATACAAAATTCAGCCTCTCATGTCCAAGGGAGGCTGACACAATCTGGGAGAAAAGAAAGTTACAGTTTTGAACTTCTCAGTGTTAGGCTGTTACAAGGCAGTACCTGACCATGGGTGCTTTCATATACTGCATTAGCAAAAAGACTCCTACACATGCAACATCAGTACTCCCCACAGAAAAGCAGTTCTCTATCGGCTTTTACCCTTCCTGATAAAAAACTTCTAGCCAGACACGGCTGAGTTACGGTAACTCAGCTGGGCTGTCTTTCATTTCCTTAGTCCTGTTTCCGCTAGCAACATCAAAATCGTGGTCTTTAATCCCAAATTCAAGGACAAGCAGGGAAAGTTTAACAACAGAGAGGACTCTCATTCTAATCTGAGCCTAGTAAGAGCATGGTATTGCTGAGTTCAGCTGATAAAAAGAAAAATGACATAAAACCACGTAAGATGAAAAACACATGAAGAAAAGAGAATTTGTTTCAAATTTTGCACTCGTATTTAGAATAAAAGAGATATTCTTGCTATCTGACCCCATTTTGCAGATCAGCCAGTTTGGATATGCCTGCAGGAAGTCCTGCTCGCCTCCAGAAGTAGCTCCTTGAGAAACCTTGTGACCTGGGACCAGCAGAGGGCACTGCGTTACCAATTGATAGCGGTACAGATGCAAGACCGTTCCTACCAAGCACTGAAAAGTGAGCCACGTTGAAGAAAAGAACCAGATTCTGGAAGTCACAAGCACATATTAGTCATCAGCATACCAGTCCTACAACTGATAAGGGTAACGCTGTTAAAACAGGCCTCGAACACTGGATACTCCTAGAAACACACCTAAAACCAGCCTAGTTCCCACATATCTCGGTCTCCATGTGTTGATTTTAGGGCGTAGGCCTCCTACTGAAAATGCTTTTCAAGCATCAGGGCTAAATCAGTCCTGCCCTGCAACATATGCTGGGTTGCTTAAGTTGAAAAACATCCTGTCAGCTTCCTCTCTCCTTCTCCAAACCTCTAAATCCTCCCTTGTAGCAGCAGGAAGTCTGTTCAGGGAAGACACATGACAGTATCAAAGCAAAGAGCTGGTTATTTCCATTCTGCCCTCCCCTTTTACTCCCCGCCTCCTCCAACCTAGCAGACTTTCAGTGAGTACAGAGCCAAGTTAGAGGACATGAAAGGAATGCTGAGGTAGCAACTGCAGAAGAGTGTGTTTCCACTTGCTTATTTCTAGTTTATTTTGAATTACCAGAAGATGACCATGAAGAAGCAAATAGCTCATCTCTTTTCTTCACTCTGTATTCCACCCTGCAGGTTTCTGGGCACTAGAACAAGCTGCGAGGATAAGTAAGTCATGCCAGTCACAGCCCTCAAGCTAGTGAGTGAAAAGTTTCCACTTTCTCTTTGTACAGTTGGTGGAATGACTTTGCCAGCATGTGGAAAGGGGTATCAAAATTTTTCATCTCCTTCTGTAAAGAAATAAGAAAGTTGTGAATCACAGATGGAATAAGCATTTGACTATTTCTGCTCTGCTTCACAGAAGACATTAAAATTGAGGGTGAGTTAAATGACAAACAAGGGGAAGGAGACACCAATTATCTTTCTTTACCTGAAAGAGAAGATAACTTTACAAAGACCCACTTCCACAGATGGTGAAAGGAGCAGACACTCACCACTGACATCTCACAGTATTCCAAGCCGTGTTTCTCAGCCCACTCCTGTGCTTGTTTCTGGTCCACAACTCGACGATCAACTAGGTCTGTTTTATTCCCCAGTAAAACACCTACAGAAAAAAACAACACAAAGGAAAAACAACCGCCCAGAAATGCTGACTTGCTAGCAATAACTGCTGGAACAGGTCTAGAAGTAGCTGAAAAAGTCAGAGGCACGGATAATAGTCTAGAAGTATCTAGAAAAAGTTCCACAAAGGAAATATATTAATACCTTATCTGCTTTTTGGTAAAAGCAAATAGAGAAGACATGCCCTACATCTCAAGGGGGAAAACTGCTGTCACAGAAAAGGAGAGCAGATAACAAGAATCACCACACACTTTCTCACCTGGGATGTGCATCCCAGCTGCTTGAGCCTTCAGCTTCTCCAGCCACTTGGCACAGTTGTTGAAAGATTGCTCATTAGTGATATCATACACAAGGCACAGGACGTTGGGTTGCTCCCACTGCACAGCAAGAAAGGAACATTGTCAGCTCTAATGAAACTGATGTGGTCAACAGCCAGTCTGTAAACACGGCAAACACAGATGCTAAGACAAAAATAAAAAGCCTAACATTCAGGAATCCTATGCCCTGGCTGTGGTTTCACATTTCAGTGGAGCTGACTAAATGGATAGCTGGCACTGGGAGAGGTGGCCTTGCTCTCTTTCCCCATTCCTGTCTGCACGGTCCTGCTCCTTTACTTGTATCAGCTCTGGCACTCATCTGATCCCTGGGGAAGCTGATTCTGCATGCTGAATAAGCGCAAAATTAATCCTAGAGAAAAAAAAAGTAGAAAGGTTTTCTTCCAGTTTGAGAAGCTGAGCCAGCTTCTAGAGGGGTCTTTTGCGAACCAGACCTAGTGCAAGGGCAAAAGTGGGATTGCCTCTTGTACAGCAATGAATTTTGTTAGTTTTCTCATTAGGTTGACTTAGCCATCTTATGAAACCTTGCATCAATTAATTGATTCTACCCCTCAAAGTGAGATGACACAACAGAGAACTGTACAGGTAAGGATACAAATGCATGAAGGAAAGAAACAAGGGCAATATTAAGGACAAGAATAAGTCCTGTTGGATCAAACACACCTCTGAAACACACGCACACAAAAAAAACAACCACTGTTGGAGCAGCAGCAAAGTAGATGTTTTTGTAAGAAATAAAAATAACCTCAACCAACAGTACACAGAGAATATCAGTTAAACATCCCTTTATTATTTATTTATTTATTTTAAGAAAAGTGAATGACTTTCTGCTTTCCTTCCTCTGGAAAGTATTCTAGTACTTTTACAAGTTTTAGACAGGAAGAACAGGATGCATTGGCAACTGAAGTAATTGCTCCCATTTACACTGAAGACAAAGTTTGCTACATCTGCCAGACTGGGAAGTTCAGATCTTCAAAGCAAAAGTGCTTCTTTGGAAGAAGAGGACTGTTACATAAGACTTACCAGTTTCTCCAGCACTTCAGAAAATAGATCTTTTCCTGCAGAGTCAAAAATGAAAAATTCCTGAAAACGGAAGCAGAAAGAAGGCTCTTGCCAGGAAAATGCAGTGTAGGGAAAGAGTTTAGAAAGTAAATACCAGAACTTGTAACTCCTGCATTTTGTTCAGTACAACAGTGTCATGTCCCTAAGGGACAAGTTCCCCGCACTGAGAACACTCTGGTTCAGATAGTATGAGAAAAGAAATAGTTATTTTTTATGTATAATCAATAAAAGAGTTACCTCCAAGCCCCAGGTCTTGTTTCCATCTCAACTGGAAACAGAGTATGTGGAGTGGGACAGTAACCTGCACTATTTATACAGAATATGTGCAGGTTGGTCTACGTTCCACTAGTGGGAATATATGGCATTAAGGAAAAATAGTAATTAAGTTATAACTCCTGTAGTTCTAAGAAACACGAACTAAACCTGCGTGTCCTAAAAGACAGAAGAGAATCCTAACAAAGATGGTAACAGCTTTGGTTTCAACTGTCATGTTGGGACACAAATATGTAAACCTCACATCTTTAAGATTAAACTAAACCTGGAGTATCAGCAATTGTACATGACCAGCCTCATTTCCTTAATGCAAACTAATGGCCCTATGACCATGCAGAGCAATCTTCCATCAGAGTGAGACTGAAGAGAAGTTTGAGCTCTGGATGTCTCTTTCTGACCTAATTTATGCCACATAAAAACTCACCACGCTATCACTTGTCTCTGGAATTGATACAGCCTTCACCAACAGTTCTATGCCCGTTGTCTGTCAAAAAGAATCAGGAAAACAAGGATCAGAAGAGTTTTTAAAAGCCTGTCCAACTGCATACCAACTACGCATTGGACTGAGGCAATTCTAGTGAATCATTACAATCCCATCAAACAAAGACTGCTGGGAACTCAGCAATACTGCTCACAGCTCTGGTAACACACTCCTACCTACATGTCAAAGCCGCGTAGATTTGCTCGGATGGGGGAAAAAAACAGAGAACCACCAACATCCAGAGATTTGCTTATATACAGCCAAGAGTATTAGCTGAAACGTGCAGGGCAACATTCACTATCTTACTGCTGCTGTAAAACACACCTTAGAACATTCTGCACCAACCATGTGATCAGCTAACATATGGGACTGAGGTTATTTGTGCCTCTTCCACCTTTTATCTCATTCTGCTTTGTAGCTTGTTTGTTTGTTCTATTTCTATCCTTAAATTCTTGTTTCCATCTTTATTTCAATGAATAAATATCTTTTAGTATGGGATTTTTTTTCCTCTACACTCATATTTTCCTTTTTTTACTTTACTTATATTTACTTTTATTTTTATCCTGCTTCTGATTAGTCATCACCATTGATTCTCACACTGAAAGACTGCAAACTGTATCCTCTTCATCTGGGAACAGTTTCTGTAGATTATAATTATCTTGGGGCTATGCAGCACATCTTCGTGTTTGCATAGTGATAAGCGCACTGTCCACACGCACATTTAATAGTTGGAATTAAAAGCTTTCTCCTTCAGCAATGCTTTTTCATAGAGCACTCCCTAAAGGGGGAAGCTCTCTAACACCACAAAAGCTTGTGAAAACATTGGTTCAGCAAGAAAATTACAAAACTAACTGAATTATTCTGCATTAAGTTTCAAAAGCAGCATCTACATAATGTAAAGACAGAATATTCAATTATTTCTCTTCAGAATTCAAGGTGTAAGAGAAAGAAAATCCTGTAAGAACCCCTCTTGCATGCCTTGACTTAAAATCATATTACTTGTTTTGTTCTAGACCTTATTTGTTTTCTTATGCAACTTCAAAGACATTTGAGCCTGTTGTATGCTTACCAGTGTGTAGTTCTTCTGAAAATGAGCTCCATCAGTGCGGAACATCTGGGCTAAAGCAGTCTTTCCCACAGCTGGATCTCCTGCAAACCCAAAACCATAAAAGATTTTTATTTTGTCTTGGAGAATCTTATTTTCCCTCAGTTCTGTTACTACCATATGCCACAGGAGTTTGGATACTCTAACTGTACAGGCAAGACAACTGTCACAAGCAGCAAACAACAACCTAAAAATTACTACCCATGTGACGAAATTAATATTGCAAATATGCATACTGGTGCTGACATCAAATTTCTGCCCTATGAATGACAGTAAAGGCCTCTCAGTTCAGGGTGAAACTGTTGTTTGTTCTAAAATTCATGTCTACCCTATAGGCTTTACCTAAGAAAAATTCCCAGAGATGTTATCATGCAAAGAAAAACAATGTGATAAGCGAGACTGGGCTGCAGAGGAGGCTATTTCTTCTCCTTAGACTACCCATTTCCCCAGATTCAAATCTGTGTTATATACTGAGTTTAGTGAAGAGACAGGTCATTTATATACTACAAAGCTGCTTAAACTGGTAGCATTCCTCAATGAACTCTTCTTGCTGACCCTGCTAAGAGAGCAACTCTTGCTGACTCAATGCTGCTGGTGGCTCATTAGTTGCATCCTGAGCCTAACAGAAGCAAATGTCACTTGGCTGGAGAGAAAGAGCCTGCTGATTCATCCCTGTATGGAAGGAAAACCAAGGAGCTTTAGTTTTTGCTCCTCTAGAGCAAGCTTTTCTGGTATGGCTTGCACAACGCTTCAGATAATCTTGGCAGCTGTCTACTTTGACCTGCTGCGTAAATTCCAGTGCACCAGTAGAGAACTGGAGGATTCATGTATGCCCGTATCACTCCATGAAAAATATCATAATCCTTGCAAAACAAAGACTTAATGTTCCCAAAGGGCTCTCCTCTCTTCACATATTATCTCACTAACCTGGATGTAGTTCAAAGGACAGGAAACACAAACTAAATACCTCAGTGGTTCTAGCTTTATCCTTAAAGGAATGCTCATGACAGCCAAGCCTGGAATACCAGTCTTTTATATTATGTTGTTAATAAATAAATCCAGAAAGGGCTATATTTTGACCTTATTACAGCTTTTTAGATGCATTAACCAAATGTAGTTCTTGCTTAAACATTTTTAGCATGCTTGCTTACTTTGAGCTGAGTTGGGTTCATAATATTTAGACAGGAAAATCTGGTAAGTCAGCTTGTTTGTTCCCTGATCAGTTCAAGCTTGTGCTGAAGACAACACTCTGTTCTCAGTGGAAGCTATTCTGTATTTCAATAGACAATTAGATTTGTCTTTGTAAAATGAGATAAAGAAGCATCCATTGCTTCAAACCGCAGCAACATCATCCAGTGCAAATTCTCAGTTAACGCGGTGCCTTTCTTCAGTTTGACACCCGCAGTTGTTCTTTCTCTCTTCTTATTTTCCACCCTCTTAGCCCATTACATCACTACACTTTCCCAAAATAAGTTTCCTTGCCCTTTTCATTTAGTTTGGTCTCATCTGCCAGTACTGCATCCCACAATATTTATTCCATCCATATTTCTGTTATTCTGCCAGAAACTGTAGTGTGTCTCTAAAATGCCTGCTACCCCCATCTTTCTACAATGAAAACCTTTTCAGTGTCTCCATAGTCAGCTCAAACAACAGTATCTTTTACTTTGTGTCTGTAAATTACCCTTGAGATAACACAGGAATTGCTTTCTGTTGTCAAGTTAATAGTCTCCCTTTTGTTAATAAAAGCCCTTTCCCCCTGTTGTTCTCTTTGACCTTGGTGCAGATCCCAATACTATGAGCCACTCTATTCTTCATAACCATTTCCATAGGTACACAAGAGCTCCTTGTTTGGTTTCTGATGTTTTTACCTATGTAATTGCATTTTATTGCTCTCTTTAGGTTGTTGTGGTTACCTATCTCTTCTGTCTCTTTCACTAAGTTATTTTGCCTCATTTATTTATTATTTATAATAAAATGTATTTTTAATAATACATGGATATTATTGTAGCACTTAGGAGAACTACATATGGGACAGGACCTTTCTGTTGTTTGTGTTGTGAACAGAATTGAGAAGGCGGCTTCAAACCCAGTGAGGATTAAAGCACATAACTGGGTCATCCAAAGAAAACCTGTGTGAATTTAAAATGGTTGTGGAATGGGCCTTTGGTAACACTAAACAACAAAACCTGAAAGACTTAAGCAAAGCCTATATGCTGGGACATGGAAACTTTCAGATTGGAAATGATGTGTAAGTTTCAAATCTAGAAGACAGGCAAGATGCTCATGCTGTCCACAGTAGCTGTCAAAAGAGGTGCAAAGGAGATTAATTCTTCATTAATTCTTTTGCATTTGCCAAAGATCACACCTTTGCTTTGTGTAAGTTGATGGCTAGTTGCTTCTGAGGCTTAAAAAGAAAAAAAAAAACATAAAAGATTAAAGAAAACGGGTTTGGAGCAGAGTTAAACCTGGGAGTTGTCTGCACACAACAGTTTTATGGATTTGTGCTTCTGGCTGAGGCTGCACAGTGCTTCAGTGTGGGGGCAGGGGAGGGAAGGACAAGCTTGCTTTCTGCAGTGTTAACAGTTAGATGTACTTACTTCCAGCAACTCCATAATCCATCCTGACTAAATAGTTCAGTGTCTTCACCTCACTTTGTTTCAGGTTAACCTCCAGTTTGCACGGCGAAAAGAGACGTCTTTCTGAAGCACACATGCTTAATCCTTCTACTCTTTGGTAAGGCTCTACCTTTCCTCTTCACTCTCAGAATCATCCCTATTTCTGACATGAATTTCCTTTCAGTACAAGGGGAGCCTTATTGCATGAGGCAGAACTCTGCCTCTGCTGTCTACCCTGCTCCCTTCACACTCTCCTCATCCTCAGCCCACCTTCCCACACTGTAAAAATACTCTTTTTCTTTTTTTCTTCTCCTCTCTTTCTTCCTTTCTTTTTCTTTCTTTTGTTTTCTTTTTTTTTTCAGATCCATGCCTTTCAGCTGGCCCGGCTATGCTTCACACCCTCCCTGAGCACATCTCTTGATTCTCCACATACCGTAGGAGAGGATATGCGGTAGGTAACCAGAAACACGGTTTCCACCGTTCCCGAAGGAGCTGAGCTCCCCGCCTCTCCTGTCGCCTCTTCCCCCACATCCTCCGTCGGGGCGACCCTCGACGAGGGGTCGAGAGGAGACAGGCCTCCTCCCGATCGCGGCCCGCCAACACCCTGAGGGGGCCCAGGCATCCCAGCGCCGCCCCGCTGCTGGGCTCGCCCTACCCCACAGAGCGCGTTCTTAAGTTCCTGTAGCCGGCCGGGAGCATGGGACGGGGCGAGCCGGACTCACCTGCCAGGATGCACTTGGCAGCGAGCTTCACCATGGCCCCGGCGCGGGGAAGACGACGACGGCGGCCACCACCACACTCTGCCTCCCTAGCAACAGCGCGGCCCTAGCAACCGAGCGCCCCGCCTCCTTTAGGAAACGACTGCCCGGGCAACTCGGTTGGCTTTGAGCCCTGCTTATCAAAGCTATTCGCAGCTACTATTGGTTCTCTTCGCTTGCCCCGCCCACCAAAAGTCCGGTCAGTCAAACCCGCCTTCCCCGCCCCTTCTAGTGGCTGAGGCGGGGCAACGCAGGGGCGCGACGGAGACAAGCGAGTAGTTTCTACCCAGCAACTAAGTACGTTAGTCAGGAGGCGGTTTGTTATTGGGCAGAACACAGGGGCCGTACCACGGAGCCGAAATTCACCCACTGGGGACAGGGCAGAAAATGATAAAATTACGGGCAAAGAGCAGCAAGGAGGGAAAGGACAAGCGATGGCGAGGGAGAGAAGTCTCTGTTTCCTGCCGATGAGGCTACGGAATGTCATGTTCCATGCAGGAGATTCCTCACCCGCCTGGCTGAGTGCAGTCCTGCGCATGCGAGCCATGGAGCGATTGTCTTTTGGAGCGGGGCTGCACTGCTTTTCTCCTCAGGCGCGCTGTGTTCTTTCCTGTGGCTGTTTATAACCCGGCCGCAAACCTGAATTTCCCAGTGTCAGTTGGGTCAGCATGTTTAAAAGAACCAGTTTGTGAGGGCTGTGTGTGTGCTGTGTGGAAATTGAGCAGGTTTTCTACTTAGCGTGGGTCAGCATTTGACCTGTTAACACTTCCCTCAGTTCGTAGTTCCTGCTTTGACTATGTTACTGTTGTTTTCCTGGTGAGAGTTAACTTCTAAATAACCAGTTTCCTCGTATCTTTATTCTCAGTATCTCAGACCTTTGTCCTTTCTCACCTGTGTAGTCTTTAATGCTGCAGGAGGTTGGTTCCTGCAATTATTTGATATTCTTCTTAAAATATTTTTCCTAAGATCTCCTGTGACTATTCTTAAACTATGTTTATCCCCTATTCATAATCTTTAAGCTGATCTCCTGGCTTCCTTAAGCAGCCCAAATAAAACTTCATGGGTTTGGGATACAGCTGAAGAAGCTGATTGTGCAGCTTCCTGATTTTCCCTTTCCCATCGTTTTGAAAGGTCTAGCACTGTTTGAAAGCCTATCATTAATAACAAACAGCACTTCTCAGGGTATAAACTTTGTTTTGCTATGCTTCAGGTTGTTTACTGTGGAGCAAGGAATCTGCTTACCATGAAAAGCAGTAAGTAAGCTTGGGAAGAAGAGAATAATCAGTCATGCATCTGTATTTGGGTTATAATATTGGACATTCCAAGAGTAGAGCTGGTTGAAAATAAAATTTTCAAAATTTTGTTTTAACCTCTGTGTGCTTAAAAGGCTGCTTTTTTTTTTTTTTGTCTTTTCTAGCATTAGTGACCCTTTTTACATGTTTGTAACTATGTGCTATATCTGCCAGACATATAGCCAGGCATGCAAATAGCATAAAAATAGTACCTTTAGCAAAATCAAAGGAGTCTTTTATGTGCACATAGAAACGTTGTTTCTGTGATTAAATTATTAAAGGGTATTCTTTAGTTTGAGTGGGCAGAGGCTTTAATTGTGGATGATGACTGTAGTGAAGTGTAGTGATGGAGTCACTTCTAGGGGTTCCTGTAAAAAGGAAAAGAAAAATTAATCCCAGATCATCTTACTGCTTTCACCATTTTCTCTTTCCATTCCTGAATCCTCCATCACATAAACCAGTTGTGTGGTTATTGATGTTCTCCATCACTTATGTCTAAATAGCTTACAGCCTATTTCATCTTTTCCTTCCACTCCATCCTCTGAGAAATTCACCTGTCTCTGTGTTGTTCCATTTTTGCAATCTTTGCATTATCCTTTGTTGTCTATTAGTAATATTGTCCCAGTTTACTGACAGGTCTGTATGTGGAGGCTTTGAGGCACCATTATTATGTACTTGAGATTTATTGATCGTGGCTGTAATGTAGTAGTATCCATCAGCATTTATTGAGGTCTCAAACATCTCTACCATTTTACACTGGGATCAGTGTAATAGAAGGCATAGATTATGTCGGAGGTGAGATTTTCATTGCTTTTGAAAAATTCTGCTTGGAATCTGGTAATATCCTTTCTGTTGCTACTTTCCTATGCTGCTTACCTTGGTCTTTAGTCCCGTTCCCTCATTTCCCACTTACCTCCCCATGCACTTGCACACAGAGCTCTTAACGAGCTGTGTCCCCTCTATTTCTGCTACCCGTTTGCCCCACACACTTTCTGCTGCCCACCTCAAAATCAGTCTTTTCCCCTGCCTGACTTCTCATAGGTAAAAGTCGTTCCCTTACCGGCGTTGGCAGTGATATATTAAGGATGAAATTTCTTATCTACACCTTGTAATCCAAGCAGAATCTCAGTCTGCTGTTAGTAGTCCACAGGGGTTGCTGCTGAATAAATTGGAATACTGGTAGCTGTGCTCACTGAAGCTTCTTTCCTCTTGAATACGTGAGAAAGAGAGGGGAAGAGAAACCTTGTGGTTTAAAAAAACCACCCCCAAAACAACGTTAAAACAACAGCAGAGGATGATGTCCTTACCCTAGAGAAGTGTTTGTTAGGTTAAATCCTGCATTTACCAGCTAAGGAGAAATAGAGGACTCTTTTTTTTTATTCACACACTGTGTTTCTTCCTCAAATGAAGCAAGATTCCTGTGAGTGGGAAGTGCCCCTTCTCTGATGTGAGCAGGTTGAGTTCCCCTGACAGCCTCAAGACCCTGAAATTTGAAGGCGCATTCCTTTAGTCAATGGTCACGAAACAGCAGATAAACTGCACGTGTCTATGTGCAGCTTGCATTTCATCAGGCTACAGAAGGCAGCGGTGGTGGAACTGGAGCTCCAGGAGGATGGAAAGGAATTTTGGAAGCAAAGTAGGGCTTTACAATGAGGATTAAACCAAGGTCAGTCTTTTAGATTGAAGTATAGCTTGTGCTTCAGATTCTCAGGCACCGTGCAGGTCACTTCATTGTCTCCTTCGCAACACATACCTGTTAAGTGATTTTTGTGGGACAGAATTTATTAGTATTCCCAGGACTTGGTTTTACAGCTATAGATGCATATAGATGTGAACATTCTGGATACACTCAGAGTTGAGCAGATTACAACCTGTAAGTTGAATGTGCTGCTTAATGAAAGCTACCGAGGAAGTAATGTAGCCTTCCTTGGAGTAAGCAATGCATCTCAGGAGGGCATTAGTGTTGAGGAAAGGAATTAGACTTTTCTATAAGAAACCTCTTAAATAAAAAGTGTTTCATCATCTCTTTTTTAAAATCTCACATTACTAAAGGGAAACTGAGGAACAAAACACCACCAGAAATACCTTGCAAATGGATAAATACGCAGAGTTCATGCAGCTTTTAAAATCTGTATAGATCTGACAGAATTGACTGAGTGTTTACTGACATGTCTGAAGAGCTTTGAAAATGGCAAGAACGGATGTGTAAATTTTATTGTAGCTTTCCATTCTTTACACTTTACCCACGCATTAGAATAAATAGAAACTTCATCTATTTTGAGGGCTACTTCATTTGCCACCCCCAAAAATTGCCTTTTATTTCTCTTCAGAGTGGAGCTATTAGCACAGAAGTATGAATTTGGATGCTTTCTATGTCACTATTGATAACAGCATCATAGTTCCAGGTCTTGAGATTTTGCTCTTTTGTGGTAGGGATTGAGACACAGATAGGAAGGGGTTTTGGCTGAGACTCGGTGCACTGAAATGTAAGATGATTATGGAATGGTTGAATCAGCCAAAGGATTTGTTGGCAGTTACAACAACAGCGCTTCTGACTGATCTGGCATATCTGTCATTTGTTTCTGATCTACTACACTGGGAAACTGGAAGCTAGAAATTAATGGTAGTTGTGGCATCAGTGAAAAGTGGTAAATCATTAGATGTTGGGTAGGTACCTCTACAAGGCTGTAAACTTGGTTTGAGTATGCTAATTGTAGCTGTTATGTCCTCTCTTCTGATGAATATGGCATGAGGGATGGATTTCTCAAGGATACATTCAAATCCACAAGGGTAAAGATAAGGAGAATTTGGGGGGAATAATTATTCTGCATATGTCTGGGAAAATCCCTGCTTGAATCTTTGTTCTTGCACAAGGAAAAGCTCTGTGAACAAAATATTTATGTAGTTTTTTAGCAATATACTCTAAAGCATTAGATGTGGGCAGTTGATCAGGGATCTGGAACTTCATACAGCAGGCCTTACTGTTGTATAGATCTCTCTGTGGGGGAGTATCTGTGACAGACTGAGGACTTGCTGTGGCCTTGTGTGTGGCTTGAACCTTTCTCAGCTATTATTGGAGCAATCATTGTCATGCTCTTTTGCACAGTCGTGCATAGGGTGATTGGATGCTGGTAAGTGAGCGTGAAGTATGCTTCTGCATCACAGGGAAGGGGTTAATCTGTCAAATACAGAATATATGAATACATGACATCTTTAAATGAGCTACCCATAATTCCAGCATGCCAGTCATTATGTGGTGATGATGGCTATGATAGCAGCTGGGAATCTTTTTTTGGATCTCTAGCTGCTGTCTGCTGAGAAAGCAGCTGCTAGGTTTACACTAATGCTATATCTTATATTAAAAACTCAAAGACAGACTGCATTCAAGTAATGAGATTTATTAACAAAATAAAAGGTTATGTTTTGGTTTATATTCTGTTTATGCTTTTGGGGATTGAATGTTCAAGGTTTTTATCTGCAGGCATGATAGCTAGAATTTTTCTTCCCCTTGCTGAAAACTGAGTGGCAGCCATGTGACTTTAGGACCCAGAGGTTTAATGGAGGAAGGAGAAGAGAAGTATTTAAGACTCTTAACTAATTTTTCAGGAGTTCACAACACTCTGTTTTCTATCATCTCTGCTTTTCTAACAGGTTACTTTTTAGGCACAAACATTTTGCCTTATCCATGTCCTTTCTTTTCAAGGTCAATTTATTATAATGATTTATATTATGATCCATTGACATCTGGGCTACACAGTGAATTTATAAAAATTATGAACAAGAAGGATCCTGA